AGGGAGCCACCACCTGGAGCCCCTCCCGGTCGGTACCGACACGGGGCTGCCCGTCCCGACACCGGCGATACTTTTACTTTTGTTATTCCGCCAATTCCCCAAACAAACAGGTGGGCGATGGTTTTCATGGGATCACACAACACTCTGGGTGTGAAGGGGCTTTGAAGCTCATTCAGTCCCACGTCCCTCTGCCACAGGCACCTTCCACTGGATCAGGCTGCTCCAAGCCCCGTCCAACCTGGCCTTGAACACGGACAGGGATGGAGCAGCCACAGCTTCTCTCCGCAACCTGTGCCAGTGCTTCATCAACCTCACAGTGAGGGATGTGATCAGTTTCCCTGCCCTCACAAAGTGCACATTCCCTTTCCCCCACTTTACTTCCGTGAACGGCGCAGGCTCGCTCGGGAGACCGAGTCACTCTCTCACACCTAACCTCTTGACGCCACGGCCCGGGAGCGGCTGCTCGCGGGGTAAACCACGCGGTATTGTAAGAGTAAGTGCAGCTCCGGAGGAGCCACTGTTCTCGGCAGCCCCCGCCCGGCTCCGTCCCGTTGAGCCGGAAGCCCAAGGAATGGCTGAGGTGACACACACCAGTCCCACCGACTCGCGCTGAGGGGCGACCCGGCTCCTGCTCTCCCTACCACCCTGGCCCTGGCACGCAGGTTTCCCCCCCACACCACGGGAGGGCGGGAGGCAGGTGCCGGGGGCGCGGAACATTACCTCAGCCAGACCGCTCGGCTCCTCCGTGTCGCGGCCGCTCAGCACCCGCTTCAGCTTGTCCATACCGCCCGCCTCGGCCCGCGCAGCTCAGCCCCACACGCTACCGGACAGCTCTGCCCTTCCTCCCTTCAGGGACTACCAGCTCCAGCGTGCACCGCGCTACCTGCACGCCGGAGGTAGATGAAGGCCGACGGCCCCAGCGCAGAGGGTACCGGAGGTTGTAGTCCGTGGGACAGGGGAGGCGGGACCGCACCTGGTGGTAAAGGGCAGAAACCGGTCGCCTCTGGGGCGTTACAAGGGGAGAAGTGTTGGTGACACCCCCTGGGGCAGCGGGGCCTGTTGGGGGGACGGTGCCGCGCCATCGCGGGGGTCGGCAGAGAGACGCTAAGGAGAACGGTAGTAGACGTGGCGCTGCTGGTCCTGTGCTCTGCGGACACGGCAGCCGCCCTATGACGGCTCTCCTGGAGCAGGTGCACGGACTGCAAGCGAGATTGAGAAAGAGCAGCACAGCACCCGTGCCCAGGTTCACGTGTTGGAGAGGGATTATCTTCATAGTAACTTATATGCTTGGTTTGGGTTTTTAAGAGACAGTAGGCACCCCACTTCCCCAGAAGCCAGGGCTTTCTCACTCTTCCAAGTGTTACCAGGCAATGAGGAAGTTAAAATTTTGTAAAGAACTGTACATGTGAAAGCTTGGAAATCTTGAGTTTGGAATTGCAGGCAGCAGGGAAAACCTGTGCTTCCTTGCAAGCTCACAGACCTTGAGGAGAGCTGGGCAGCTGATAGATGAACCAGCTGGATCATCAATCAGAAGTGTAACAGCTAACTTTAGAAAGGTTAGGAAGGCAGAAGTTATTTTGAAAAGCCTAGCAAAGCAAAAGGTACCTGTGTTCCTAAAGGAACTTGGTTCATTTGAATACTAAAAATCACATCTCTTGAGCTAAGAGACCCTTATGGAACGTGTGTAGTGAATTACTATATACCATGTCCTTAAACCGAGATGAGAACCTGGAAGATTGTAGATACATACTGTTACCTATATGGAAAACACTGACCATCACCGTTTGAAATGTATAAAAGCGGCAGACTGAGGGTGTGCTGGCTTTGCGCAGTTACTGCCTAGCACCCATCTCTGTGCAGACATGAAACCACAGAATCACTAGGGGTGGAAGGCACCTCTGGAGAGCACTTTGTCCAACCCTTGTGCCAAGGAAAGGTCACCTAGAGCAGCTTACACTGAAATGTGTAATACCTCAACTCTGTGTTAATCATCTCTCTGCACACCAGGTGAAGAACCTGATTTGGGGACAACACAAGCATACAACAGCTGACATCTGAACTGTCCTAATGTTTTCCAGACCTCAGAACACATGTCGACACCCTCTGTTCTACTTCTTCAGTTGTATCTCCTCCCACCCATTTTACCAATTATTTGCAAATAGTGAAGCTCGCAGAAATATTAATATATATCTAATTTTGCTCCCACTATTGTGGCTCTTCCCCTGTTCTGAAAAAGCCTCACTTTATTTTCCTGACTAGCCAGAGTGGCCTGATGATAGGCAAAGGCACATGGATGCAATGCCTTACTAGCATGCAAAATTCAGCATCAGGAGTAGTTATTTCAGTTTATTTTGCTCAGACAAAAACAACTGTAAAATGATTGGTACATTTTATTTAGCAACAGACAAGAAAGAATATAAACTGCCACATGTTAAACTTGCCATAAAATAGCTAGAGAATCACCCCCACTCCCTCCCCCAAAATTATGTATCCAAAGTGGTGCTTTTCTGTGTAAAATTTTTACCAGAGAGTTTGTGGTACACCAGTTTATACTGCTGGTTTTGATTGTGTGGTATGACACAGTCACAAAGTGTTCCAGGTTTTACTCTGTAGTAATTGTAACTTCCTAAACATTATGAGTTCCCCAACATGTGTGTTCCACGTAAATGCACAGCACCCAAAGCCGATGGATATCACGTAACTATAGTCAGGATTCAAGCCCACTCAAAGACAACTGTATCGGGAGGTCGCAACTCAGTATGCAATATGGACAAGGTAAAATATAGCATGTAAGCTAAACATGCAGAGCATCCTTTTCATCGCTAGGTGTCGATGCTCTGGGTTCCCCCCAACATACACTTCAGCCCAAAGGAGATGCTAGCATCACTGACCGAACCCAAATCACAGTTCTAATTACTGAATGCAGATACAGTTGCCTTCATGCTAGCACTATATCAGCTCTCAGTCACTACCATCTTTAAAGTGTGTTTTTATAAGCCCTTAAGACATGTAAAATAGTATGTGCTTAGAGTAAAATAAGTGCCATAATTTACCTCTAAAAGCAAAGTATCTCTTCATGCTCATTTGTTGTGCCCTTACTTTTTGCTCTCTCCCCATATCCCTTTATCACTGGAGTGGATCAAAATGAATTTTGATCACTTCCATGCTGAATTCATTTGCAGCCCCTTCTTCATCCTGACACTAAAATCTTTAGGAAACAAATGCAGGAACATGAAAAAAAGCCAACAGAATTAAGGACTCTAATGGGGAACACAGAGGACCTCACTTTTATTTCAAAGTAGCATAAACTCAGCTATTGGAAAACCCCACATCATGGCTATTTGATAATAGTTTCTTTCAGAGACTGTTTAATTTCAGTTCTTGTCATTCATTCTATCTTATGGATCACAAGACTTCTTGCAATAGTCCTTTCCAAAGGATTCCAAAGATAAGGCTGAAGGTGTATTGAGGAAAAAAAGATTAATCAATAACTTTTTAGAAAATAATCCTGACAGACCCTCATCAAGATAAGCATTTATTCATTCTTATTTTTACATACATGGAACTGAGGCACAGAGAAGTAAGTTCCCTGTGGTCTATCTGTGACACAGGAAAACCTGGCTTTAATTCCTGCCTTTCAGCCTGCTGATCAGCTAGATCATTGGACCTGGTTGCCTCAAATAAAAGTGAGACAAAGTGTTTTGTTTTTATTAAGAAAACAGTCACTGAGATGGCAGTAGACTTTTTCCTAAAAATTCAGGGTCTTTTCTAAGTGGAAGCCATTTCTCAAAAGACCTGGTTGAATACCAGGTTTTGAGCTGGATTTTTTCTACTAAGCCATGAAGTGCAGAAAACTCAAGCCATGAGAACTTCTACGCATTCTTATGTGCCACCAACCACAAGGCCTGCTTTTTGCTACAGCTGTTTGCTTCTTCACTTCACTGAGTGTGAGCAGTAAACCTAGACAAGTCTCTAGCTCCTCCATTCTTAGGCAAAACTATTAACATAACTGAGGATTTCCAAAAGCAATACAAATATTTAATCTACAAAGTGTTAAAACCCATGACAATACACAGTTTTATTTGTATCAGGAATTAAAGAATTTTAAAAATAAACCAAAATGATGTATCTAGAATACACACTGGCACCCTTTCAAAACTATATAGGATCTCATTTCTCAATCTGCAAATACCAGCATCCCTTAGGGACTAGAGACTAAATGCCTCTTTTCCCAAGCCTTAGGCCACTCTGCAATTTAGCAATTTGATGGGCAGGGCAGGATAACCATCATGCATGGGCACCATGCAGTATGTCCAACAGAAGGTCAATACAGTAAAATGCATTTCCAATGTAGAACATGACTGTAAGCAGCATACAGGTCCCAAATAATAGTCTCCAGAACTGCCTAGAGAGTATTCTAGGGAATACTAAAATAAACAGTATTTCTGAAGATACTTTGCAGTGTGTGTCTGTTAACCTCCAGCTTTCTCCTGCTCTGGAGTTAATGCCTCACAAGTAAGGTAATTTTACCTTTATATAGTGTCAGACAAATGCATCATTAAGCCTATCCTCAGATGAATATTTTACAGTCTGGATCAGAGATGTCTAAATGTAACTTAGCAGGTTATCAGCTTACAGTAGAAGTCAAGTGAAATGTGTAGTTTAGAACTGACAGCTCAAAATAAATTCAGGGGATGATTTTATTTTTCTTTCCTTGTGGATGGTTTCTCAATAAAAATAAAATGCCAATTTTAAGACTCTGGTAGTCTCAGTATCTGAAGAAGCAGTAATAAAATCTTCATATAAGTGTTTGTGGTTCAGGATCCAGGCAATACTCCTGCCTACCACCCCGTGAGTTAAACAGGACTCAGACTCTTAAACTGTGAGTCTTTCTCCAATACTGCTGAAAACGATAACTCGCCACCAGTCTATCATTAACTCCAGATACAGGTTAAAAAAAACCCAACAACAAAGAAACAAAAAACACCATTAGCAAAACCTGCTTGAAATGTTTTCTCTCAGGGCTATAGAAAATTAGCCGAATTCTTTATTCCACTAGTAGTGAAACTGCCTCCCAAGGCAATGGTTACATGATCATGTTACCTCCAGTTTATTTCAAGTCCATATAAAGTCACATTTATTTAGACTTAACACACGTGGTTTCCAGTGACGCTTCTGGTTTAGGCTCCACCTTCTCTGGGAATTCTAGTTTTTCACAGATTGTCTCCTTTACAGGTAGATACTGAGAGATCTCATTAGGTTCCGTGAACAGGGAAGGTGGAACATGCTAAGAAGCAAAAATTTTATATGAAACAAGTGAGTGAAAGGGAGAGAACAAAAAAAAAAATATTAAAGGTATTCCAAACCCAAACTTGACAGCAATCTATAATCTACCTGAAGTCAGGTATAATTATTAAAATTTACCTTATGACTTCAAATGTACATACAGTCTTTTACTCCTTGTGTAGGTCAATATGCTAAGGAAAGGTATTTAATGTTTTTAAGTAGCAGAACGTAAGAGCACAAGAGACACTAATGAACAGCTTCAATGTTTTCTTTAACAATAAATTTATCATTTGCATGTAACAGAGTCTTTTTGAGGTTCTAGTTCTAGATGAGATTAGGATGGCCACAAGGAATCCCATGTTTAATGTCTTCTAGCCATTGCAATATATTAACTGGAGTTGCTCAGATTTAGCTACTGATACCCTTCAAGATGCACTGTATTTTATAAAGTCAGACATTTATATGAAATACTAAAACTCCCTGAATTTTAATTTCATTTGAAGAAATTAGGGGGTTTCATTAAGTTGATCAGTATCTTTCTCTGGAGATTCCTGTTGCCTACTTCACCAGATGCAAGGCATTTGATGAAAAGAAAAAAAAAAAAAAAAACAACCCAAAACCAACCGAACTTTACAACAACATACTTTAAGAAGTGTATTCAGAGCTATTTGAATGCAACCTGTATTTTGGCTACTCCTAACATGCAAAGAATCATACTGCTGTTTTAATTGTTTCAAACCTAAGTGAAGCAGGAATCTGTCTTACTTTACCTATGCAAGCTGACCTAGTGAATTGGAAAGCTGGATGCATTTCCTCTCAAATACAACAGGCAGGGAAAATTATTTAACAGCCCAGATGATATTTTTAAATATGAGGTGAAGTAAAACCTACATCACTGATTTATATATCAAACCCCACACAACTACCAAAAAGCTCATGTCTGAATATAGTCCTGCTTATAGGGATCACATGTTAAGACATGATAAAGTGCCACCTTCCACAAAAAGAAAACCGTTTTGCAAAAACATTCTCTCAGAAGGTTAGTCACAGTTACTTTTTTTACAGGTAAAGGAAAAACACCATAAAAAAGGGAGAGGGAAAGTAACAGAATACCCAAGATCAAGTATTGGGTCAGGAATAAAAATCAACAGCTGCAACTCCAAATGTGCCACAAGTTATTCTGAGTCATTACTGGAGTTTTAAGGTGGGCTATTCAGTTTGAGAAAAACTGAATGAGTCTTTTACCAAACAGGCCTTAACCCCTACTACTACTTGCAAGCATACAACCAGCCCTGAAATTTAGCATCATGGGACACTGACTACCCAATTTTGTGGCTGAACAGGTCTATGAAAAAAAAAAAACAAACAACCAACAACCCCCCAAATTTTTTAATTTAAAAGGAATAAAGATAACTCACTCCTGTATGTCATGTGATCTGAGCATTTACAAATGCACATCTGCCCTGAAATCACTAAAATAAGTGTTGTGTAAGCAGAAAGGGGTTTTATCAATTCCAAACCTAGAAATCAGTTGATTTACACAGGATTTTCTATGCTGACTGTAAAAACAATTTAAAAAAGCAAACAGAAGAAGGAAAAACAAAAACCAACACAAAACAAACCAACCAAAAATCATTTAAAAAAATGCAGTACCTTTAAACTTGATATTTTGCTTTCTCTGGAGGTATACTCTCGCAACATGTATGCCTTGTCAGCCTAAGAAAAAAAAAAAAGGCAAAATTACAGAATTATCACCTATCAGTACAAAAAGAGTAGTTTAAATACATTGAATTTTGTAAGCTTTTGAATTTGGTTGACCACAGACTGTCACCTGGGAGCAGAAACCAACGTTCCAACTCATGAAGACAGAGAAAGATATTCAGTAGTGTTTTCTTTCCCCAAAATCACCTTCCTGCATGTATTCAGGAAAAAATTGTGACTATATATGCTTGTTAATCTTTACTCAGCTAGAACTCCTACATTAGTACAAATACAGCTAGAGAGAATAAGCAAACCACAACTGTTATGCTCCGTATGACATACAAGATACTAGAACTCAAATATAGTATGGACAGTTAAAGTTAAAACTTGCAGTTGTATGTTAGACAAGCCAAAAAACCTGCACTTGGAGACAAGGATAAGAACAGTATTACACATTTACTGTTGCCTGTTTTCCCTCTTGTACTTCTTATCTGTGTCTGCAAAATATATTTAAATGATAACTGCACGAGGGGTAGCCAACTCTGCTCATACAATACCTAGCCACCTCCCATGGCATTCAGCACTTGGCTGCTATTTCAGCACCACCACAATAATATACTTGAAAGCTCAGTTCAGGTAACCTCTAAACCCCAAACATCAGTATTAAATAACAGGAATATCAACAAGTCTTCTCTGGAAGTAACATGACAAAGGAGCATCTGTAAAACATTCATGATGAAGAAAAAGGGTTTACCTCATGATAAAGCCTTGTATCATTCATCCTGATAAGTACCCCATCTACTCGCAAGAAAAACCTCAACAGGACAAAAAAGCTGGAAGGCATAACTCTCTGCAAAAAAAGAAAAAAAAAAAGATGTTTCATTCAGCATTTCACAGAGTTCTACTTTAAGTATGCACTCAGCTACTTCAGATATTCACAGTGAAAAATAGTATGAGGAGCTTTCAGTAATAAAGTCAAAATCTGGGCTGTTGATATGCTACAGCTGTCATAGGACAGCAAGGTAGACTGCCTCAAAAGAGGGAAAATATTGTTCCCTGAAGCAACCAACAGAGAGATGTCAAAACAACATAATTTCCAGTAAGATGATATTTCTAAGGTTGTGGATAAAAAAAACTTTGCATTTTAAACTTTAAATCCCATAAGAAAAAGCATTAAAAAAAAAAAAAAGGCTGAATTGCATATGTTAACCGAGTCACAATAGTTGTCTCAATACAACTCTCACTACTCACTATTTTTACACTCAAACTTGATACTCCATGATCATGAAGTTCATCTTCGAACAGAAGTACTTCTTCAAAAAACATAATTTGTTCCCGTGCTTTCAACTTTTCTGTATTTATGTGTTCTGTTGTAGGAACAACCTAAAGAAAAAGATTAAGAACAGGCAGCATGTTAATTTGTTGCCAAGCTACATAAAGTTTGTCCTGTTCTATAAATCCCACAGTTACCGGTTTTAGAAAGGAAAAAGCTTTTAGGGCACTAAGCTTAAAACATGCAAGATTTCTAAGAGAAGTTGTTAAAACTAAACCTAAAGTTTCCAAGAGGAAATACCAATCAAAGCAACACCAAGAGTGGAAAATTCTGAATAAACTTTCCTCTGGGTACAGGCTCAGGGGAGTTTCAGCTGCAAACAATTCTACTCAATTTCTGTATTGCAAAACATTTGAAGATTTGAAGTTCTGGGTTATTAACAAGATTCCATTCATTTATTATCTCTAGCCCACTACAGACCCTGAAGAGGATTCTAATAAAGCCTCTCCATGAAAATCAAGTTACTACATTTTCCATGTCATGATCTCTCGTATGCTTCCACTGCCTAAAGACTACATGCCAACTAGACATCATTTATTTCTATGCTGCACTTTTAATTTCAGAGTAAGTCAAGTAATCTGTGACTCTTAATACAGAGTACGTGCTTAGTAGCATGCAATCTGTGTACAGTAAAGAGAAACTGGGAACTTGAGTCTTATTTTAAAGTAAAGACAAGGGAGGGCCTGTAGGTTTAAATATGTTTTTGCTGTTGCAGAAAAAAATATAAAGCCACTGAAGAAAGCAGACAGATCTACGTACCTGCTTAGACAAACAGGCAACCAACAGAGAGTAAAGGTAGCAGAGAATTACAATTAACAGTTCCATTGTGTGTGAGGAACCCAGGGCTTCAGAGGGGCACCCAGCAAGATTAACAGCGATGAAAATTTTTACTCTGCAAGTTGTCACTAAGGGACACAACGGCGCCCTTTTATATGATCCTAAATTGCTTAAAAAACCCAAACCAAAAAAACCCTATTTGATAAGAATAACATGCTGAGACATGGAAAAGCCCAAACTATACTTTAAAAGTCAGAAACTACAAAACTTGAAAGATTTTATAGATGCCTACTGAAAGGTAAATGAAAGTCTAAAAAACGTGTGTTTGAGTGAAACAATCTGCAATCAGCATTTAACGAGGAGAAAATGGTTACCTTTAACGTTGCAGTATCTCCCAGCAGTGTTCCTTTGTAGTCTGTTGTGTAAGTCCAATCATATGGCTTGACAACTTCCTTAGTGTGTTCAGGCTCACTCCTTAAGAAGTGCAAAACACCATCCTTTGTAACAATTCCTAAAAAATTACCACCTCACAAAGAATATGTACTACAATTCCCACACTCTTCAAGAAGAAAAACAGCAGCATTGTCTGTGCTGCAATGACAATGTCAAGACTTAATTGCTTCTTCCACAACATCTTGTTTCCATACAAGATTAGAAAACCATTACCAGAATTCCTATGCTATAACACTACCTCAGTCCTAGGATTCAGAGATTTTGGTTCACTGTTGTTTAAAGAGTTGTACTTCAAGATCATTTTTTCTTTAAGTAGGCAGAAAGCAATCTGCTGATAACACACAGCAATCATTAACGCTGCTATTTGCCTTAGTTTTCATGACACCTTTCACTTCTCTCTGTGCTTTATTTCTAGGTGCTCTGCAACTCATTTGGTAAACACTAAGCAGCGCAATTAGTTCTCATGCATAGTAACTGTTATGCTATATTCCTAAGGCTAAGATTCTGAACACACAGCATTCTGCACTTGAAATGCTACACACTACAATCTTGTAATGCTTGAGGCCCCAAGAATTTGAATAAATAGAAACAGTATTAAAATGTAGTTTATTTTAAGAAAGCCAAGATTCGACTGAAAAATAGAATTGACCCCATTTAACAGATAGGATGATCATGGCAAAGAAAATCTAAGTGATTCCTGTGATCACACACTATCTATGGCATAACCAAATGCAACATGGTCTTCAAGAGTTCAGTCTGTTCTTCTAAATACTTTGTGACAGTTTCACATGCAACACACCAGTACTTACCCACTGGTGATAAAATACTGTACCTGCTCTCTTGCCACTCCTCTGCACAAGCCACTTTGATCATACCTTGACAATTATTGACACATTTTAAAGCATCTGTTGCATTGAACTCAATTCCAAAACCATGATTATGCTGTATCCTTAGGATATTGTCCCCAAACATCATCTCTGGCAGGGAGGGCATGTGTAATTCATCAGCCAGTCTGCACAGAAAAATAAAAGTCCCATAAAGAGAGGTAAGTCAGCTATAGTTCAGTGACAGCAGTCCTTGGTTTGGAAAAAGTATTCTTTAGAATCAAAGAATGGTTTGGGTTGGAAGGGACATTAAAGTGCATCTTTGCACCCCTCTGCCATGGGGAAGGACACCTTCCACTAGACCAGGTTGCTCAAAACCCCGTCCAATCTCACCTTGAACAAACACTTCCAGGGAAAACCTCAATACCATGATCATTTAGAAGTCACATCATCAATGTGTTCTTTAAAACTTTGTAGTTTCCCCAGTTTAATAATTTGACATAAATCACAGTCATTGATCCAACATCACTTTTCCACCACAAAAGTATTCCTGAAACATTCCTTCTCCATCAGGCTCATACAGAAGTCCCAGACAGGAGGAATAAAAAAATAATCTGATAAGCAGCTTTCAGCCTGTTGTAGCAAATCTCTGGATAGTCCATTAACTACTTCAGCAAGTACCCCAAATAACTTTTAGGAATGAGCACTCATTGTCAACAAGTTTAAATTCACTACACAGTCATTCACACCTCTAACTTTAGAAGCCTACATGAAGGGGCTGAAAACAACCCTGGAAAAGTATGTGGGAAGTGCAGAAGACACTACTGAGCTCTACTACCTTCCCAAGCTGGTAGAGAATACACACCAGTATTTGTAACCTCAGGCACAAAAACCATAGCCACAGACCCAACTGAACATAGGACTGCATGAACCAAGTAAGCATTATCCTTGCAGGAAATCTCAAAGCACCCTATTTCACATTCTCTTTTACCTCAGTCTTTATGCTTATTTATACATGTGTACATATATACATACACTATAAATGCACATGTACTCATACACCACTACTTTGTATACATACTGACCTCAGTTACCAAAAAGCTTCATATACTTCTTTTCCTCCCTCCCACTACCTACTTGTCAAGATCAAAAAGAAATATGTGACATCCAGAGAGGAGAGAATTCCAGGAAATACACTAATTGTAAGGAAGCAAGAAAAAAACCCACTAGTGTCCCAATAGCAATTTTCACATTGATAGCAAGGCCTTCCTGAACAAAAGTGGTTATTTCTGTAACTGCCTACAAAACAACATTATGCTAAATAAACAAACAAAAATAGCAAATTTGTAGATCCTATGTCTTTCCCAAAGAAGGCAGAATAATGCTATGAAGTTTTCTGTTCCATCAAGTGTAGGCCCCTTGACCTGCCAAGACCAGCTCCAGCCCAGAAAGGAGTTCTTTTATATGGCACATTTAATCCTTCACCTTTCCACAGACGTTGCTAAGGATCTTTGTGATATGTTTGTCAGAAATAAAACCCTTACAGATACATATTCCCCAAGCAATAAAAAAAAATGCAAAATTCCAAGAGAAATACATTGTAAAAGGACACTGACTAAAAGCACTACAACTGGATAGTTCTAGACTCTTCAGATTTTAAGTGGAGGATTTGTTTTGGAGATCTCATGCTAGGTACCAAGACCTAAACAACTTCTTTTGGACTTCCCTACTCTGCAAAATTCTCTGTTCTTTCATGCTGTGTTGTGCCTTTTGTAATTTCACCTTTCAGCCTTTTTCCAACATGTTCTGAAAAAAAACCCAAACCCACTGGTCTTGAAAAACACCTAAACAGACAAAGGTAATTTCTGAAAAGTACAGAGGTGACTCTGCATTTTAAAATAGGTGCAGTTAAAGAAACTGAATAGATCAGGTGAGTACAGTAGGCAATATGGCTTCTAGACTGGCAGTTCAAGGCTCTTGTTCACAGGCAAATAAGAGTTAACATCCTCCTGATCTTAATAAAGAACTTCATTTTTAAGAGGTAGCATCCTACAAAATAAGTGCTCACAAAGATGCCATAAAAATTGGATAATCTAACAAAAACTTCTCTCCCCCTGCAGAACGATCGTACAGCTTAGCTGGGTGTTGAATCCTCATTACAGACAAAAATACTAAAATCACAGGATTCAAGTTTTTGTTACCTGTAACTGCAAAAATTAAAGGACCATTAGTCAGAAGCAGTTTGAGAAGATTATCCTAAATTCGAAGCTTAAAACAAAGACAGATGAAGGAACATAGGGTCTACCTGTTTTAAGGCAGACACCCAGTTAAAACAACCAACCAACAACAGAAACTGTTTCAAGACATGGGACTATCAAACAAATCAGCCTTACAAAAGTTAAAAGCAACATGTGTTAAGATACACTGAACAAGACCAATGACATTTCCATGTATGTATTCCAGAAATCGAAACCAACAAGTATCTGTCAAATTCAGCTGCCACTGAGGTCACCTATGGCACCAAATAGCTGAACTGCTCAGTGCCCCATTAGCAAACCTGACTCAAGCACTTGCTGCTGACACAGAAGCATTTTCTCCAGCAGCTTGACAGCAGTGGAAATTACTACAAGGAAAATGCAAATAATACATTTTTAATGAGAACCACTATCTTCGAATAGCCATTACCACAAAATAGCATGAGTCTGTGGACTACATGTTAAAGAACCTTAATCACCATTAAAAAGTAATTAAGGAAAAATAGGCTTATAATTAGCAGGCCAGGTCTCCAAAACCATTAAGCGATCACTGAAAGCAGAATTCTGAAGACCATCTGCAACCCAAATCACCTCAATTTCTCAAGTCAAAGAATCAAGATTACCCTCACAAAAAGCGAATTAACAACCACCACCCCGCCCACGCTGCAGGACTAAGCAGCGTCTCAACCGCCTAAAGAACGTTATTTCTCGTATAAGGTGACAAGGCGCCCCAGACCCCTCACTGTCGGAGGCTGAGGTCCCAGCCCAGCGGAGGCTCCTGCCGAGCCCCAGCACAAGCCGAGGGCAACGAGCAGCGGAGGCCCCGTCCCGTCCGCCGCGGCCGGCCCCAAGCCGCCTCACCTCTCGGCCTGCGCCGACTTCATGATGTGCGTCCGGGCGGCGCTCAGCTTCCACGGCCCGAAGGTGAAATCACGCCGGCTGCTCTGGAAAACGGGATGCATGGCGCAGACCAGGGGAGACCCCGCCGAGGCGAAAGCAAGACCGGAAGCAACAGCGCTTACCTTACCCTGCCCCGCCTCACCCCTCTGCTGTACTCTCCTAACAGCAACGGCGCCTCTAAAAGCACCGCCTCCAGCAACTTCCGCTTCCGGGGGCGCCCCTGCATCCCGGAAGCAGTGCGGCGGCAGTGGGGCGTGCGGGAGCTTTCCGCGGCTCGGCTTAGCGGCGACGGGGTCCTGCGTTCCAGGAGCCGTAGTGCTGCGGGTGGGAGCGCGGGCGGGAGCTGCGTCCCTCTTTCCGGGCGTCTTCGGCCTCGGCTGTACCGCGGCTGGGCGCGAAGAGCCAGCGAGTTCACCTTAGCCTCTGGAACCGGGCTGCAGTGCAGCGGCCGGAACAAAACGTATGCGTGGCTGGCGGGCGCTGGTGCCTCCAGCCGCACCCCCGGGGATACCGAGCTGAGCCGGTCAGCACATTCGTGTGCTATGGAAGGCTCCTTCTGCTGAGGGAGGGTAGGAGCGGTCTCGGGGAGATCTGAAGCTCTGGATGGTAGCTGGCCGTTCTCCCTGGCCATGCCCAAAGTTTCAGCAAGCACCACCCAGCACCAGCACACAGACACAAGCCTTGTGCCATCTCAGATAGGTGTGCATGTATGAGTGGAATCTTCCGTGATGGTCGGACACCTCCCCAGATCCTGTTCAAAGATGGTTTTTAAAAAATGTCAAAATGTGTTGGCATGGCAAGCCTAAAATCCTGTCAAAAAGCATTGGTTGAACTGGTTGAAAACTACACGTATTTACTACCTGGGTTGCTTTTCTGCATCACTGAAAGGACACCCTAACTCCCTGAGAACTGCTCTTGGCATAGGGGTACAACTTGCAAGGTCCAGCTCCTTCTGTTGGACCTGCCACAGCACCAGGGCAAGGTGAGGTGGCAGCCATGGGAATGTGATGCCCATATTGTGAAACACTTCACCTCTTCCAAACCACAAAGGAATCAGAACACAGCAAAGCTTAAGTCAGAGCAGCTGTCCTCTGTGTGCAGGAGGAACCAAGCTGTGGGGAACCTGGGAATTAGGGATACACAAGCATGGCATTTAATCATTCACCCTTCATACTGTGCTCAGCAGTATCTTGTTTCAGGTGTGTGTGTGGGAAAACTCCCACAGCCTGTATCTGTATTACTTTTAATGGCATTTCAGGGGCTAGGAAGCCTAGCAATTAGGATTGGACCAGCTCTGTAGCTAACTCACACTCTGTGCCAGGGCAAGTCACTTCACCTGATCTGTGTAATATGGATTCTCCCCTGTTTTAACTGGATTCCTGCATCATCAGCAAAGAAAAGCTGAATACTGTGGTGCCAGGGAGTGGCAGCTGTGCCCCAGGGTAGAGGCAGTGCCCACCTTCATCTGGGACATGGCAGAACTCCTGTGGTGGTGAGGAGCCTTCTGCAAGGGCCTAGAATGTCCCAGAGGCTCTGCTCACTTCCCTCACATCACAGGCGGAGGCTGGCTCTGTTGCCCATTTGGGGCTTTATAAACAAAGATGCAGAGTCTAGTTAGGAAAGGAGACATTTATTCTGGGCAGAGACCTATGTGGAAGTCTCCACAAACCAAGCACAAATCAATCATGATTGTAACTTTACACTATTTATACATTTTGACAAAAAAAGAAATCTGTGTTCATTGGTTGAGAGTTATACAATTTGTTCATTAATTAGTATTCTACCCCATACTGGTGGCGGAATATTAAAGGTCCCTCTCACTTCTTATGCTGATCAGGGACGCAGGCTCTGCCTTTCTATTGAGTCAATGGGTTTCTTGAGTTGGTGGTCAGGCTGCCCCCACTCCCCCACCTAATTATTGCTCATTTTCTTCTAGGCTGTTGTCCGAGGGTTGGAGACAGATGTTCCTCCTTATCAGTCCTGACTCATTTCCCGGAGAAGCAAGATGGATGTTCTTTGTTTAGAGAAGTCTTTGTACATTATCACAGTTATGTAGCAGAACTACGATTGCAGCAAGCATCCTCTCACAAGATGCTGCAAACATTTACAGGTTTTGCTCAGTCCTTTGGGGTTTAGCATTGTTTTGCAAGATGTTGCAAGCATTATTTTCCCCTTTCAAAGTCTCAGTTCCATGTTTTGTATCATTGTAAAACAACAATAGGGTGTGGTGTTTAAAGATTTCCAGTTTAAATATTGGAGTGTCTTGTATATTCCAGTTTATACTTCTTTACATAAAAAAAATTTTACCATGTTAACTCAGCCTAATTTAACTAAATAATCCAGTATCAATGCAATTTTAGTACTCCCATATACTCTTTTCTATTGCTTTCCAAACACTTCCTATACAGATTCTTACAATCAATATAATAACTATAATAACAAAGTTTACATTATGCTCGAGGGCCAGTTTGGCAGAGATAAGCCTCATTTATGAAGCAGAGCTGATACTGGTTTCTATTCTTTCATTAATTTCTCTACTTGCTTTAGCCACTTGTTTAATTCTCACTGTTTTTGCAAGGGTTAAGTGACATTAGGTGCATGTGTAAAACACCAGTCGGGATCCAAATGTAAATATTCCACATAGGCCATGTTCTTGGGCTAACAATAAATCTAAAGCTTGTCTATTCTGTAAAGTCCTCTTTGAATTGGCTTGCACCTGTTGATTTAGGTCCGAAAATCTGGTTTTAGTAGCATCTACCAGAACCTCCATTTGTCCAGTAATGCTGTTAATTGCAAATCTATTCTGTAAGGACTGTGGGCTGCAGAGATTCTAGGCCCCATTGTATCCTAGTTCCAGTAGACAGTTGTTGCCAACTATCTACTGTATCTCTTTCGACAATTCCATAAGGAGTTATCATGCTCTTTCTCCATACAGACATGAAGTTAGTAATCATAGTATCAAAAAATCATAGAAGAGTTAGAGCTAGAGAGGACCTCAAGATCACCTAGTTCCAACCCCCCTGCCATGGGTAGGGATGCCTCACACTAGACCATGTTGCCCAAGGGCTCTAGCCAAGGGCCTAATCCTTTGAAAATCTTGGGAAAATTAGAACAGTTATAAACATTTGTGCACTAAAGTCTCATTTTTCTATCTTTTTGTATATTCCATTTGGGTAGGCTTCTGATATTTTTCACTGCCCTCCTTGATTCCCTACCCTCTCAAAACACCTGTTTGTTCAACATAATGCCAATTCCCTTCTTCACTCATTTTCCATGTCTGGTAAATTTAGTCCCAAGGTATCTTACTGTACTCACTAGCAACCCATGTCTTATTTTCTATAACAACTCTCATTTTCTTGGAAGAGGAGTTGAGTTTATATCCCAACATATCTTTTCACCTGTAGGTAGTGTTGTAGTTACCACTGCAATGTAGGTTTTTTTCTATGGTCCAAGTAATTTCTTCTCCAAAAACGAGTTTAATAATGTAATAATTTAGAAGTTTAATGTGTAATGATATACATTTTTGTCCAACAATGTGTATTATTACTACAATATATTCTTTGATCCCTAGGTATATTTATTACCTGGGACCCATTGTGGAGGGAATTCCATAGATGAGATAAAAGTTTATACCCTCCATCCTACAGGATGCTCTGCTGGTTATGGCAAGCCATAAGGCTACTAGCATTGTGCATTTTTCCAAAGGATTGCAGCAATTTCAAAATCACGTTATCTTGACATATCAAGAATTACTAGTAACATCAATCGCATGTGATTAAAGTCCGACATTTTATCAAGTTCTTTTTCTGAATTCCACTTTTAATGGTTCTGCTGGAGTTACTTCCCACTTCTCTGGATTTGCGGCCTTCTTTCAAGGGTAGTGGATCTGTTAGAAACTTCAAAACTTTTCTTGTAAAGACTCAGATTAGAGGCAACAGTGAAGAAGTGATTTATTAAACATTTTTGCAAAAATGGGTGTCCTAATAAGAAAGCACACCCAGTGACTACAAAGTTCTTCCTTATATTCCCTATCCCTGACTGCAACAACCCTCCCTTGTTTCCCACTGGTCGGGTACTCCAAGGTTTACAGCCTATCCAAGGCACCTGAACATCCCATGTGAACTCCCACCCATCTGCATCTCCCACTATTCTAATTTAAGAGCCCCTTCCCCTTATTTGCTAACCTGCACACTGGTGAACTTGTTATGAACTGTAACCAGTAACCCAGTTCCCACCTTAACCGCCATCTTGTTATCTTGCTCTGACAGTTAGTTTAGTGGCTGACTGCAAAAATTCTATTTTACTACTTTTTACAGATCCACAGTTCCACTCCCTGCAGTTTCACCATGGTGCAGGTTGAACAAGGCCTGAAAAGGTCCCTTCCAATGTTCCTTTAGAGGTTCATTGTTCTACATCCGGAGGCAGACCAAATCAGGTTTGAAACAATGAACTACTGTATTCAATGCTAATGGTGCATGTAATTGCAAATACTTGTTGACAGAAAATAACACTTTTCCTAAAGACATCACATAGTCCTTTAAATACCCCTGTTACAGCATACTGGCAGAAGCTGGTTCATATTCATCATCTGGTAAGGTCGCTCATATAAAACCTCAAATGTACTTACTTTATCTCTATTGTTGGGGATTATTCTTATTAATAGGGCCAAAGGCAATATGTCTGGCCATTTTCATTTGGTTTCCTGACACATTTTACTTGTATGTCTCTCAATTGACCGATTCATTCTTTCTACTTTTCCATTGGACAAGGGTCTCCAGGGGGTATAGAGATGTCGTTTTATGTGTAGTGGTTAAGGTAGTTTTTTTATTATTTTAGCTACAAAACAAGGCCCCCTATCTGATGACATTTCTATTGGGATTCCATTATCTTGGGATAATCCCTTTTAATAATACCTTACCTCTTTAGCCTGATTTGTTCAACAATGAAAAGCTTCCAGCCATCCTGAAAAAGCATCTACCAAACCCAATAAATACCAATGCACATTTTGTCATGGTAATTCTGAAGAAATCTATTTCCCAATAGTGTCCTGCTGTATTTCTTTTCTTCACCTCTCTAGGAAGAGGTTGCGGTTGTATTTGAGGATTATTCCTCTGGCATATTTCAAACTTCTTCACAATACTGTAAAGAATTCTTCCCATTCCTATTCTTAACACTCACAATTTTAGATTGTCCACTAATATTTTCACACCCCAATGGGTACGCTTGTGTTCCTGATCTATCATTTCCTTTAGGAGAGGGGTTGTTAAGATTACTGTTGTGTACAGTGATCCACCACCCTTTCTTTTTTTGCCTTCAGTAACTCAGCTAATTGATCATCTTCTTTTTGATATCCTGGACTATTTTCCAGTACTGGGTATTTTCCTGGCAGTATTAGTAATACTTGTCCTTCTGCTGTTTGTTTAGCAGCCTGACCTGCTAGCTGATTTCCATGAGAGCAGAGTAGAGGTGCAGGATCACCTCCTTCAACCTGCTGGTCACGCTCCTTTTGATGCAGCCCAGGATGCGGTTGGCTTTCTGGGCTGCAAGCGCACACTGAAGCCAGCTCATGTTCATTTTCTCATCGACCAGCACCCCAAGTCCTTCTCTGCAGGGCTGCTCTGAAACATTTTTCTGCCCAACCTGCAGCTGTGGCTGGGACTGCCCTGATCCAAGTGTAGGACCTTGCACTTGGCCTTGTTGATCTCTGGTGGTTTGGTCGACGTGCTGGAGGAAAGGAATGCCATCCAGAGGGACCCTGACATGCTTGACAGATGGGCCAATGCCAGCCTCATGAAGTTCAACAGGCCAAGGATAGGGTCCTACATCTGGGTTGGGACAATCCCAAGCACACGCTGGGTGAAGAACAGTCTGAGAGCATCCCTGAGGAGAAGGACTTAGGGGTATTGACTGATGAAAAGCTTAACATGAGCCGGCAGTGTGTGCTGGCAGCCCAGAAAGCCAACCGTATCCTGGGCTGCATCAAAAGGAGCATGACCAGCAGGTTGAGGGAGAGGATTCTGCCCCTCTGCTCTTGTGAGACCTGACCTGCAGTACTGTCTTCAGCGCTGGGGCCCCCAATAAAAGAGGGTCATGGACCTGCTCAAGCGAGTCCTGAAGAGGCCACAAGGATGCTCAGAGGGATGGAGCACCTCTCCTCACAGAGTTGAGAGAGTTGGGGTTGTTCAGCCTGCAGAAGACAAGGCTCCAGGGAGACCTTATAGCAGCTTCCAGTGCCTAAAGGGGGGGCTACAAGAAAGCTGGAGAGAGGCTTTTTACAAGGGCAGGTAATTACAGGACAAGGTGACTTTAAACTGAAAGAAGGTAGGCTTAGATCAGACATTAAGAAGAAATTCTCCACTATAAGGGTGGTGAGGCACTGGGACAGATTGCCCTCAGAAGCTGTAGACGCCCCTGCCCTGGCAATGTTCAAGGCCAGGCTGAACAGGGCTTTGAGCAACCTGATCTAGTGGCAGGTGTTCCTACCTGTAGCAAGGGGTTGGAACTAGATGAGCTATTAGGTTCTTTTCAACTCAAACCATTCTATGAGTTCATGAAATAGCGCAGCAGCAAAACATCCTTTACTGGAGCATTCAAAACAATTAATTTTACCAACATAACGAAGAACAGTTCCGAAATAAGCAAACCAATTCCTAGGAATATGCCAAAACCCCAAATTCCATGTGACCGGTCGTCACCTTAATCCTACACGGGGATACTTTAAGGTATCTTTTATCCCTTCGATCAGTCTTCTCTGATACGAGTTGCTCGGGGAAGAAGATCAAAACCGAAACAACACTAACAATGTCTCTGTATAGGGCACTGCTCAACAACTCACCACAAACGGGGGTTCGCCAGCGGGTAATCCCACCGGTGGGTGCTGGAGTCCGTGTAGCGAGTCCCTTCGGCTGCGATGGTTTCCCGAGCGAGGTCCAGTCCGAGTTCAGGGTTCCATCTGGATCGCCAGAAACTGTTGCCTATTTGGGACTTTCCAAACTAGACTCTCGGTCTTTTGTTTTAGAAGCCGCAAACCAGTAACAGCGGTGCTGGTGGCAGCGGCGACCGCAGCGAAAATGGCGGGCAGCGATGGAGGGGTGGGGTCGCGGCGGGAGGACACGGTGGGGTGGGGTGGGCCGGGCCGGGCCGGCGGGGAGGGGGCATGGAGATGGCCGCGGCGGGATGGGACGGTTGGACTGCGGCTCAGGGCCTCTCTGGCGGTGGTGAGAGGTCCGGGACGCTGTAATCCCAGGCACTTGGCGGCGGGCGGTGAGTGCGGTGCCAGCACCGGCTGCCGTGGCGGGGCGGGCGGTAGGGGTGGTGGGAGCGGCGGGCCGCGATGGATGCTCGGAAGGGAAGACCCTGCCCTCGCCCTTTGTTGGCTATTGGGGGCAAAATGGCGACCCCCGTCCTCCCCATCGACACGGCCGACTTTGTGTGTGCCGGCACGCCTGACCGCGCTGCAAGCAGCCGGGCAGGGATGGGACGGGACAGGATGGGATGGGATGAGACAGGACGGGATGCTGCCCTGCCCTCTCCCGGGGGCCACCTTCTCCCCTGAGGGTGCAGCAAGGCCGTGAGGGGACGGGAAGCGTCAGATGGCCCTGCCGGCGCTGGTGCAAGGGAGCGGCCTTAGCTCCTCAGGGGTAGCCGCCTTTCCAAAACCTGCACTAGTCCAAAAGCGTTCGGAAGGCTCGCAGAGGTGTGGGGGCACGTCTGGGGAGAAACGTGAGGAGAAGCACTTTTGCAAGAGTTGGCAGAGAGCTTCACTAGAGAAGAGCTAGGTTATGCTTTACAAAGCACGGCCCAGTAATGTCTTTAATTATGTTCTTAGGAAAGCACAGATAAAAATGGGAAAAACGTGGCTCTCCCGCCTGACATTGCCGGCTAAGGCCACGGCAGCCGCGCAGACAGAAGCGTTTCTGTGAGTACTCCTGGCCTTTCGGGAGCTATGGATGGGCGCAGAGTTAGCTGAGATAACTTTCCCCAAGTCTCTAGTTTCCAAAAAGAATGCTAGTATCAACTTCACATTAATTGGTGAACTCTCTAGTTTTAGGGTTTGCATATCTTTTGGGGGGTTTGGTGGTGCTTTTCCTTCAGGATGCTGGCCTGCGGGTGGGGGAAGGATTGAATGAAGTAGGTAGGAGTTGGAGGCAGCAGGGAGATGGCTGCTGAGAAACTGGGAGAAAAAACGAAGGGTCATAGCTGGAGGTTGTGAATCGGTGGGATGGATGTTAGCACTGAGAAGTCAGGGGTTAAAGGCTGTCTCAAGAAGTGGACTGCAGCCTAATGCAAGGAAGTGTCTTGAGCTTCATAGAATCATAGAATAGTCTGGGCTGGAAGGGACTTCTAAAGTCATCTACTCCAACTCCCTGCAATGAGCAGGGACGTCTCCAACTAGATCAGGTTGCCCAGAACCACATCCAGCCTGGCCTTGAATGTCTCCAGGGGTGGTGCACCCACCACCTCTCTGGGCAGCCTGTGCCAGTATTTCACCACCCTCACTGTAAAGAATATGTACAGAAAAATGTCTTCATTTACAGAAAAATGTCTTCATGTACAGAAAGGCAGTTTCCCCAGTCCTTTGGTACTGGCAGTAAAACCAAATCACCGCTGTAGCTAAGGTGATTATGAACATGGAGAAGTGATGTTAGGAGAGTACATGATCCCTGAGTCTTTGAGTGTTACATAGCAACTGTTAAGAAAGAGTCAGCAGGGTATGATTAGCCGAGTATCCACAGACCACCAGCAAATGCTGCATAGGCAGAATGCAAGGTAACAAGCAGGATAAACAGCCAGAATTAAAACCAAAAAACCCCAAACAAACCACAAACAAAACAAAAAACAATCAAACAAAAGTTACTTATTTTAAAGTGCGAATCAAAGACTGATAGTGACATTCCTGTTTCTTCACAGCCTAGATGAAGGGACTGAATGAGATGCAAGCTGGTGAGTATGGTTTAGAAGCAAGTAAGATACTTAGAAAATCTTAAAGTAAAGTGTGCTGATTTTCTTCCTTGTCCTTCCACTTCTTGTCTTTCAGACAGTTTCTTCCATGTTCTAGGCTTGGTACTGTCACTGACCTCTTTGGTGTACCCATAAGCAATTTTCTGCCCCTTCGCTTTCCCATCTAAAATGGTTTCCTGCGTTCTACAGGTAAATTTAATTAACACAGGCAAAAGGGCCTCCAGTCTTTGGAGAGAATCTGAAGAAGTCTTGACTGAATGTTTCTGAGCGTTGTGCTGCTTCTAGCTGCTCAGCATGTCTTGGCTGATTCAGCTCTGCATACTCTGACCATGAGCAGCAATTCCTCCCTCAGCAATGTGAAGGGCCTGAGGAACCTCACCACGCAGGAAGATGGGGCAGTCAGAGTCACAGAGTCCATTGCTATAATCGTCATTGCTATTTTCATCTGCTTGGGCAACCTGGTGATTGTCGTCACTCTGTATCGGAAGTCTTACCTTCTCACGTTGAGCAACAAGTTTGTATTCAGCCTGACCCTCTCCAACTTTCTGCTCTCTGTACTGGTGCTGCCTTTTGTTGTCACCAGCTCCATCAGGCGAGAATGGATCTTCGGAGTTGTTTGGTGCAATTTCTCAGCACTGCTCTACATGCTGATCAGCTCAGCCAGCATGCTTACTCTTGGACTCATAGCTGTAGACCGGTAAGCACTTTTTTTCTGATGAATTGTAACAAGTTGCCTCATCACTCCATAGGGTGTTCATATCAGTGGATAATGCTGCGTACCACTGTGGAGTCCTTTTTCCTTCAGCCCCTTGTGAAATTCTGGTGCAGAAGAAAGTGGTGTCATCAATACTGCAGAATGTACACATGCCTTTAGAGGTTTTTAAAGCTATTGATTGTATAATAACATACTACATGAGAAACAAGAAATAATGACTTTAAAAGTCCAGATTATACCCTGTACCCACCCACTCACATGTAGGGACAGATTTAATAGCTGCATGTGTGCCTTTAGCCAAGTTTTACAGTCTTGACTGCAATTATATGTATTTTTACATGTAATTATTTTTTTAAACAGGCTCCCTGAACTCGCTTCAGGGTTTGGAGAAAGGAGAACTAGATCTCAACATCGTTAAAATATGTACATCTTTTGTGCTTCCATTGACTTTCTTTTCTTGTCCACCAGGTACTATGCTGTCCTGTACCCGATGATTTACCCAATGAAGATAACAGGCAACAGAGCAGTGGTAGCTCTTGTCTATGTGTGGCTACATTCCCTTATTGGCTGCCTCCCTCCACTTTTCGGTTGGTCATCTTTGGAGTTTGACCAGTTCAAGTGGATGTGTGTGGCAGCCTGGCATAAAGAGGCTGGATACACTGCCTTCTGGCAGATCTGGTGTGCGTTGCTGCCTTTTGTGGTCATGATGATCTGCTATGGATTCATATTTCGAGTGGCAAGGATTAAGGCCCGCAAAATCCACTGTGGTAGTGTCATCATTGTGGAGGAGGACTCCCAGAGGAATGGGAGGAAGAACTCCAACACTTCCACATCCTCTTCAGGCAGCAGAAGGAATACTTTCCAAGGGGTTGTCTACTCAGCCAACCAGTGCAAAGCTTTCATAACCATCTTGGTTGTCATCGGTGCTTTCGTGATTACGTGGGGGCCTTACATGGTAGTAATTACATCAGAAGCACTTTGGGGAAAGAATAGTATTTCCCCTGCCTTGGAGACGTTAGCTACGTGGTTGTCTTTTTCCAGTGCCATTTGCCATCCACTGATTTATGGACTGTGGAACAAAACAGTACGCAAAGAACTACTAGGAATGTGTTTTGGGGATCGGTATTATCGAGAGACCTTTGTTCAGCGGCACAGGACATCAAGGTTATTCAGCATTTCCAACAGGATCACAGGTAAGATGCATGGCCACAAAAGACACGCTCCCTTAATACCAGTAAGAATAAGACTTAATGTCTGCGTGTGCTTGGCATATTTCTGGGCTTTGTATACAGTGGGATGTTTCTGGAGGTTTCAGCAGTCTTTTGTTCAGGATACTGTGGACACTTGAAAGGAGAAAGAATTTCTCTTTTTTTTTGTGGGAAATAACCTCTTTCTCCTACTAAAATTTTCTCTGCCAGAGAAAACATAGTGGTGATAAAACCAGTTTATTTTCTTCTCTCAAGCATTTCTTCTCATATGTCTATCATTTTGTGTTACCCAGATTGGAGCACTACAATAATATATTTTGCAGCACTTGTTCTTCAGTTCCTGGCTTTATGCTATAAGTGTTTGAGATTACTACAGTTTCACTGGTACAACTATTTCTGTAAATTCAGTTTTTAGGCTTAATGGTTGTGAAGAAAAGATCATAAACAAAGTAAAACTATGTAAAAGAGTAAAACTATTTGATGTCTCCCCAAGCTAGAGGCTGAGAGCTTCAGTTGATCAGTTTACCGTTTTTAAAATAGCAACGCAACAACATTTGATTTTTTTATCATTTCCATGGTCCTGTTCAGGAGCTTCCAAAAATAAGACATCCTCATGTCCCAAGGGACATTTCATGCAGAAGCAGGAATGAAGTCACTTAATTGGGAAGGAAGAGCTAAAATGCAGAAGGAAGAGGAGAGCACTAAGGCTCTGTTGTCTTTTCTGCAACATGGGAGAGGCTCCCAGCTAAATGAAAGAATTTTGCATCTGCAACCACATCACAAGCTGCAGGTGCTTTGGCAAATCTGTATCCAGGAGATGCTATGGATGAATACATTGGGACCGGGGGGTGGTGAGGGGGTTGTGTTTAAAAATGGGAAATTTCTCTTTCTAAGCAATAAGAAGTTGACAGCTTCAAGTTTATCAGGTGTGTTAGCAGAAAGCTGATAGGGTAAAAAAACCAAACCAGACAACCCACAACCAAACCCACAACAAAATCTTGAAGTGGGATCCAAAGACAGCACCGCTGCAAGAATCCTAGAATCTCCTCCCTTCTTGCTTTGGGGATTTGAAAGAAGCCAGGCATCTCAGTGTCCCAGCCTTGCTCATGAGCTTCCTGCCACTCTAACGGCCTGTCATAGCTGCTGGTGGGTGCTAGGTTACTCTCTGTCTAGAAGGTGTATGGTAGATATCCCCATCTCTCTTAAGTGTGTATGCTCCCTGTTCAGCCTGTCTGGCTGATAAAACATGTGACTGCAAAAGGAGCTGGTGGGAGGTCGTGCAGGTAGAAAAGGAGACTTGCCATATGGGAAGACTACAAGGATACTTGAAAGCTGCTGACTGGATTTCTGAGTCGGGAAGTCCAGATGCTGTACACTATGAATCAGCAAGGTAAGTTTTATGTAGTATAATAAATAAGGCAGTGGAGAGGGCATTACTAGAAGAGGTTTTTACTACAGCAGACACCTTAAACCTTAATTGTATAACAGGAACAAGTCTCTCTTGCAGATTTGGGGCTATCTCCTCATCTCACTGCCCTCATGGCAGGCGGGCGGCCATTAGGAAACAGCAGCAGCACAGGAGACACAGGTTTCAGCTGCTCACAGGATTCAGGTAACTAAAAGTGTCTTGCTCTCTTGAGCAGAAGATTGCACTTGTACCTTGGCAGAACTCTCTAGGACAGTCTGTACTTAAACACACAGATGTCTCTTGGTGGATGGATGACATGAAGCATCTGTTTCAGCTGTTACAACAAAACTGTTGCAGTTGCTTTTTTCCTTCCTTGCTCTCAATATATTTACTTGCAAAATACTGTTTACTCTAAGGAATTATGACCCTTCCTGATAATGTGTCTTGGGAGCAGGACTGCTGTTTTTGTGCTCTTCTCCTTTAGTTTTGATCGTTCTTCAGGGACTTTCCCTGTACCCATGGGGAACAGAGCAACAAAGTGCTGTAGAGAATGTGCTTCTTTGTTTCTTAGTTTGTGAGAGGCCATGTCTTGGTCATCCTGCAGCATAAACATAAACGCATTGGGTGGTGTCAGCTTATGATTTTGTTGCTACTTAAGAACTCTCAACTGAAGATGGTTTGGAAAAGGGGAAAGTTCTGATGGTAATTTTCTATCCAGAACTGTAGCTAGATTTTTCTGGTAGTTAAATCAGCTACCTCTCCCTTAACTGCACTGCAGTTATTTTTAAGAGTATTACTGCTCTAGAGACACCAGAGGGTGACTGTCTAATGTTTGCTTGGTGTTAGAGGTTTGTTTCTTACTTTCGTAAAGGAAGTCTATGGAGCTGGGATTTATTTTGGTAGTTGTTCTACATTGGTAGTTTTATACCTGTTGTAGGTATTCTGCAGCTGTATATAAAGAATAGCATCCTGGTAAACCTGTCTCAGTTAAGAGGATGTTGTGCTACCATCTTTTGAGGAATGGTACTAAGCAGTTTAAACGAATGAGCAAACTAAATACACACTGAGTGCAGTTAGAAGTGCAACTGCATTCCAGAGCCAGGGATTGTCAACGCAGTGATCCACTGTGAAATACTGTTTCAGTTGATGCCTATATTGTGAGGAACTAAAGAGCAGAAAGAAGTCTTAGTCCCTCTTCAGTGCTGCCTGCTGCAGTACCTGATCCTGTGGCATGTGTCTTCATCTGCTCTGGTAAACTTAAGCTGAGCTTTCCATGTTGTGAAAAAGGGATGTAGTAGGAGAGGACGAGAATCCAAGTAGTCCCAGCTATACACAAAATGTGACTTGAGACCCAAGTTTTAATTGCTGTAAATGCTGCTTTAAGTTCTGTTACTCAGAGGACGATGATCTACCCTGTAAGAACAAGAGGCTAGTTTCTTCACTACCCTCATTTGACACATCCTAGTGTCACCCTTCCACTGCACACTGTATTGCTGAGAAGGATCCGGTACCCTTGGAGATCTGTAAGCATCTACTGTTTTCAGCAGATAGCCTTAAATCCAGCTGATCCACAGAACAGCAGAGGAGGTTGCTAGCTTATTTGGGATGGTGTATTAGGACAGCTGCTCATTTTTGTTTGCTGGAGG